CCACGTATTGGAGAGAACAATGGTATATGTAAGCAAATGTCTTGACTGTGCTCTGCTTCTGGATTGCCTCTACCCAGTTTCTCCCTGCTTAACAGCAAACACTTTACTGTAAACAGCACAGCTAATAAGGTACAACTCCATCCACCTATCCAAACTTCTCTCTCTTTAATAAGATTTCCTGAAAAATTCAAGAAAAGTTTTACTGAATGATGTGGTTTAGGATTCCATACAGATATGTATGTCAACTCAAAACACACACTACACCTTCCATCCACCTAAAAAATATAAGGTAACAGGCTTGCCTAGTTTCCCCTATTCTTCACTTTGTTTCTTGTCAATCAGCATTCTCTGATACTACTGAAGTTTAGAGCTCCAAAATGCCCAGTTACCTGCTCAATGGCATATTAGCTCTTTCTGCATTACTTATTACTAATCTGATTATACTAGTAGATCATTATTAATTTTTAAAGCAAATTTTCTTTCTGTGTTCTGCTATATATCTCCTCTATGTACAAACTCACATTCAGACAAATTCCCAAAGTATTGCTATAGTTTCAGTGCTTCACATGCAACCTGCAACTGTGTTATTAGAACACATGGTCTTGGGAGGCATGGGTCAATGCCAATACTTTTGAGTTTAGAGTGGCCGTTTATTTCATTTGTATTTCAATTGGCTGACTGAAGAGAATAAAAAGCAGAAGGAAGCGGCCTTCCCATTCTACCTCCACAGCTGCAAGTTTTCTTCAGGAGCAAACTACAGGTGGGCATAAAGGTCCACCGTCACAATTTTGCAGCACTGGAACTAGCTTTCAGCTCCAAACTCACAATTTAGCTTAAGTATAGTATTATCATCTGTTTTCACATGTACCTTTAATGGATGATGATGTGCAGAGATTTTACAAGTGAACTGATTATAAAAAGGGAAATCGAAAAAGTGCCTGCAAAATCAAGCAATTGCATCAGGCCTCTACAGCAGAAGGAAGAGTCTGCTTAAGAGCTTCCCACAGTGAAAAAGCAAGCAACTAGCATTTACTTCCTTGCTCTTTTTCTGGCTTATTTTGCATATTTAGAACGAAGACTTGAAGTAGCACGAGTACTTGTTCAAATAATCAAAATGTCACTTAAAATCAAGAGAGCTTATTCCATGGTGAAGAGGTCAATCTGGATTTTAAGTGGTACAATAACCTGGACAAGATGACAATTTCTATAATTCTTTGTCTAGTTTTATGGGAAGGAGTTGTCATTCCCTGTTAAACCTTTACATCTAAATATTTTCATGCTCAAAGCTTTGGTATGATGTCTTACAAAATACTTGTAGATCTGATAATTTTATATTATTAAAGCCTTCACTTTTTAACTGCTTTGCTTGTGAAATATGAACAAGTTGTGTTGTCATGGATACATAAAGACTAGGGAAGGGGTAAAACTATCACAAAATCTGCATGCAAATAACCTGAATTATGAATGCTTTTTTTCCCCCTACACGTTTCTACACGATTTGCATGATTTTGCAAATGCAGCTGCACCACTTAGTTGATGTTAAAAGTTCGAAACATTTGCTTTATCTGAAATGCTTCTTCTACAGCTGCTAATACTGTACAAGCTCATTTAAGTGCCCATGACACAATGTCAAAATCCAGCTTCTGTATTCAGAAGGTTGTTTTTCTCTTTTAAAACATTATTTCTGTTTGTTTGCTTTTTAAGAGCCAAGGTTACGTATGACACAGTGTGTATCCTTTAATGCAGCTGGACTTTCTTCTTCCTCCAGTACTGCTGACAGACCCAAGGAAATATTTTTCTATCATTTCATAGCTATTCAAAAGCCACTTTTACTTCAGACAAGATGAACCTTTAAACAGTCAGGACAAAATACCGGGGGGAGATGGACCCCACAAAACCTAACAGTTTCTGCTTTGTGGAAGTAACACAGTTGGTATTAGTTCAGACAGGAAGTACCTTTTGCTATGCACCCCAGGCAAATTTTGACACTACCTCTAGTACTTCGCTGTTAAGAGCCTGTTCTGACTCTCAACTTGACCTGCAGAGACACCTGCTAACTGATCAAGTTTAGAGATGTTGTAAACAGCAAAGGCTTTTTTTCCCCAGCTATTACTTCCATCAATAATGAACGTGGCTGCTCAAAGAAAAGACTTGGGAAAATCACAGCAGAATTTCCAAAGGATGTCAAGGAAAGGAAAGGAAAGATGAAATACATAATGGCCAAAATAATTTCTGTAAGGAAAGATTTTTTTGCCTTTAAAAAAAATCTGCAAATTATGAAATTAAAAACTATGTTATATTATACATAGTAACATATTAATTGCAAGTAATAATAAACTATAATAATATAAACAGAACATAGGAGTATTTATTACAGAATATACAATACATAATTTATAATTATATGTAATATTTTTTGCAATATTTTTGATAGCTCTATCATTTTTGCTCTTCCTCTATCTTGTGCACAGCTTGCATTTAGAAATACACATCTGCAGATTAGAATCTAAGAATCTAGGTAGTGGCAATACACCAGATCAATTTGACTGCACTGAAAAAATAACAGAAAAGCATTGTTGAATTTATGAAACCTTTATGGAGCATGAGGCACACTTTATTATTAATATTTTATTTTAAACATTTAAATAAGTGAAGAAAGGAAATGCTGAAGAGTTACAAGTTATTAAAAAAACTGAAATAACCAAATAAAATTTAAAACATAAAATGTTCCTTCTTCCATTTAAAAATCAGCTGCTTCATGCAAAAAACAAAGAAAACAGGGCCGAGGCTTTTTCTACTGTGCCTCATGAAATATTTTCATGGTAAGATTATTTATGGAAATCAAAGAAGTATCAAAAAACATTTATATGTGCTTTGCTAAAACAGAAAAATTAATTACATAATACATCAGTAAAGCTTAGAGAGGTCTTTTTAGATACCTAATTTTGAGGAAAGAGTACTGCATGTCAAATGCTATGAAATGTTTGGATTAGGTGACATATCAACTTTTCAAATATGCATATATAGCTACTCTCCTAGACGCTTTATTTTGGTGTCTCCTACATATTGCTTAGTCCAAGCCACTTGGATTCTGAGAGCTGCTCTGAGTCCAAGAAATAGAAAAACCTCCTTAAATCCAGTGAAGTTTCACCCCTCCAAAGACACAGACTGCAGCTGTCAGAGTAGACTCTCCGGATCTAAATTCTTGTTAGTATAATAGAATATCTCAAGTTGGAAGGGACCCATAAGGATCATTGAGTCCAACTCCCTGCTCCTCACAGGACTACCTAAAACTAAATCATATGACTAAGAGCATCGTCCAGATGCTCCTTGAACACTGACAGGCTTGGTGCCATGACCATTTGCCTGGGCAGCCTCTTC